TCATTAACCTTCACCACATGCCTGGGGTCAGATGAAATTTCCACGTCATAGACAGAAACACTGGGCAAAAGGAAATCATGGTGATTGCTAAATGACACAGTTGGTTGGTAAAAGAATCCAGAATGGACCAAATACTTTGCCTCCAGGAAGAAAACAAATATTCCTAAAATTGCTGCTATTATCATTAAAAACAAACAAACAAAACATTCTTTTCCATCACTCCGTTAACAGGCAGAGCAACGCCAAACATTCAACATGCTTTTCTACTGACTGGCCATCTGGATGAAGGCAAGATGGCCTACCACATGGAATTAGGGGGCTCTCAAGCAATCCATCACCTCACAACCAGGTCTGCCTCTCACCACAATGGGCTCCATAGACTTTCTAGGGAGCGGAGTATCACCAGTCTCTCACATTTAAACAGGTGCAAATAATTCACGCAAAAGAAAACTACGTATTGAAAAAATAATTCTTTCATTTGGATTACCATAAATAAGGAAGAAGATAACAGTTAATGGCAACACATTTAATATGAACATGTTTGCCAAAGTCACTAAGAACCTTGCCAACAGAGTCAGCTGTATTTTAAATATCAGTCCATAGGGACCTGCACACCTCACACAAAGGCCGTCCATCTCTGCCAGTTCAAATCCAATAGCAGTTCCTTGGGAGAATGATGGGAAATCTCTTGTCATGAGATTTACAATCACCTATACAAGATCAAAAGGACAGTATTTACTCCAGAATAATGCCCAGAAGGCAAGGAGGAAGGAGGAGAAAAGGAAACTACAAGCAAAATGACAAAGTAGGGAAAGAGAGTAATTATAGAGATTGTGATCAATATCATCAAAAAAACATGTTGAATGGAAAACCAAATTGCTCTACAAACCTTAATTCAAGTCACAATAAAATGGCTTTTAAAAATCTGCCTTTGAAAATCTTGTTTTCAAAGCACAGCACAGTTCTTCTCAGAAACACAGGGTCCCTAATGGCTTGCAGTCAGCTGAATGGCCAATGGTTTTATATCAATGGGCTGTGTCTGTTTTTAAAACTATTAACTAAAAAGACAAAAATCAAAGGGCTGACATCACAAGTACCTTCTGAGGAAGAAACCTGTACTGTAGAAACAAAAGCAAGATCAAGCTTATGAGGCACCATCACAAGCAGGAAACCAAAACCATCAGGGGGACTAAAGAGAAACCCAAGAGTAGACAACACTAAGACTTGCCCACAATGCAAACGAAACACAACAGTGGAAGCACATAAGAGACACAAAAACACCCTACAACAAAGGTTTAAACGTCACTGCACACAGTGACTGCACACGATCACTTAATATTTCATTGCTAAAGCCAAGTCTCCATGAGAACTTTTAAATAAGGAACAATGTGCTGATAGTTGTAGAGGGGCTTCAGGCCTTTTGTTCATAGGGTTGCTATGAGTCATGCTCGACTCGAAGGTAATCAACAACATGGTTACTTGGGTAAGGAGCTGCACTACCCGTCTGCCAGCTGCTCCGAAGAGGAAGACAGGCAATCGACTCGCTCATAATTTACAGCCTCTGAAAACCTGCTGGAAGATCAGCTATGAGTCAGCTCCAACCCAAGAGCACACACCGTCAACAACATGTGGCTGCTCAAGGGAGTGAAGCAGCATAGTCCACAGGGAGTTACACGACTAACACAAAGGTTAAACTGCTTTGGATGTCTGAATTCACCAGAAGCTCCACAGTGGGCAAGCCAACTCAGTGTAAGCTTGCTCATTTATTTATTTATTTATTTTTAATGGCTGTTTATCTACATGATGAGTCAAAGGGAGCAAAGACCTGCTTAACAAAAATGTAAGTGTGCATTAAGTATTTGTTGTTGTTGTTGTTGATGACTGCCGTGGAGCCAAGGTCAACTCATAGCAACTTGATGAACAAAAGACAAAAGACCTAATGCCTTTCCATAGCTATCATTGTTTCTTCATGTTCAAAGAGTTTCTAGAGGCATGTGGTTTAGGAAGTGGATGACACTCCTGCTTCCCAACCTGTTTTGCAACTGGGAGCGCCATCAAACACTGTCCACAATGGGAAACCATTATGGTATTTTTTCCCCCATGGCACAAGGTTCAGCATCAAAGCAAACCCAGGCTACCTCATATAGCACATTGACAAAGAGTGATGTACAAAGTGGAAGAATGTTCGTCCAGTTATCACAGCACTAGTCTCATTTAGCAGTGGTTAAATGTTGTCAAGTCAAATATGACTCAGAGTAAGCTTTGCACAAAAGACCTTAACTCTGTTATAAGAGAGTTTGTTGAGTTTCCAGAGGCATCTTGTTTAGGAACTGGATGCCACTCTTGCTTCCCAACATGAATCTGGAAGCTCATCCAACCATTGTACATAATGGGTAACCATGATGGTATTTGCCACGACTATGGAATAGTGTTCAGCATCAAAGCAACTCCAAGTTGTTCAGTACAGCAAACAGACAAATGATTGCTGTGTCTTTAAAAGAATATTCTTCTAAAAGTAATAAATTATTTATTGCTATTAATTTTTATTAATAAATAACTGAAAATTAAGGATTTAGGGGTGAAAAAAATTAAATGAACACAACAGAATTTCCCATGTTTTTTCCTTGGTGGCCCCAAACAGTTATGTCCATATAGTCAGCAAATATTTGGGGACTTTAGTCTGACTAAGAAATGTGGTGTGATTACATTGTCTTGCTCAGAAAAGCTGCTGCAGAGACTTTGAGAAGGAGTACAGGGTGGCTGATAACCAAACTGTACTTTAAAATGAAAACCGTGGTAGGAAAAACAGCAACTTTACGAATGTAGGGCAGTCAGGGAAGCAATACAATGGGCCCCTCTCTTTCTCACTAAGATGTTTAAAGAACTAATTTATATTCTCTCTTTGCTATCTGTGTGAGTCTGAGATAGGTGGTCATTTTCCATTTGAAGGGATGGGTGACGCAAGAAGCCCTGGGGTTTAAGTTGAAAATCAAAACGCAAGTAAATGGCAGAAGACATGGTTGAAAAATCACATCTCTCAAAACCTTCGCTGCTTATTTCTCAAGATACATGCAGAAGGAAATGTGGACTACAGAGCACAATTGTATTTAACAAAAAGTTTGTCTTTTTATAGGAAGAAAAGACAGTCACAACCTCAACAGATGCTTCACTTCCTGACCCACACCCACCCCCACCTCCAAACTGATAAAATCCTAAAGGAATTTACACATTGGTAGGAAGTGTAGTTCAGTGAGGCTGGAGTTTGGAATAGGAAGGAGAGAAGGAGAAAATAAAGTGACAAGGTGAAAGGCTGCTGTGAATTCAAAGCTCAGGAGACTTGGTCTTTATTTTATTAGGACTAAGAAATATCTTTTTCTTTTTCTAGTTCGTTCTTGTGATTGTTTTTGTCTTATTTTGGAAACTACCTATAAGGAATGAAGTGACATGACTGTGAAGTTAATCTTGTAGCAGTGTCTAAGAAGGAAGAGAACAGTTAGAAAGAGGGAGAAAAGTTAAAGATCTACTGCAACCATCCCTACAGAGATCACGGTTAGAAGCCACAGGGCAATGAGATGGACTGCATGACACAATGGCTGCAACAATGGGCTTAAGCATGGAGGAGACTGTGAGGACAAGCAGGATAGGGCAAGGGTCAGATCTGGTGTTCAAGGGTTGCTATGTGTCATAGATGACTTGAAGGAACTTAACATGGGAAGGGAACTTAACATATAACAACTAGGCTGCGTAACACGGGGGGACATGGAGAGTGGTTAGACGACGGGGAAGGGCAGTGGGAGGAGGGCTTAACTATAATCCCAGGCCTCTGAGCCTGGGTGACTCCCTTCTTAGAGAAGGGAAGACGAAGAGGCCTGGGAGGGGAGGTGAACCATTTTGGAAACAATGCACTTGTGTTGCCGCTGGGCCATTTAACAGGACGCTGAAGGTAGGATGCTAATGTTCTAGACAGTAATAGGCCTGGAAAATCCCCCTACATGAAAGAGTAGTGGGATGTGAAACCTCAAGCAGAAAAAGTGGACGCCAAGTAAAAAAGACTCCTTTGTGGATATGGACTATATACAAACCAATGGCATTCTATCTCACACATTCCACTTAAAAAAAAAAAAAATCCAAAACCTACAGTGGAAAGTTTTCTTAGGTAATCATTAACACACTTCAGTTAACAGAAGACAGAATTTTTAAAAAGGGACCACAGTGTATAAGGAAACTTACAAGAAAAGAGCCTTTTTAAGGCTTTTTTTCTAATACTGGTTTACATACAAAGTTTATATAAAGTTTATAAACATTGTTTTTTGTCCCAGGTTTCTCCCCTTTCCTCTTTTCCCACCCATCCCTCCACCCATCAAATTATGTGACCTTATGATTAAGTCCCCACACCTTGGATCCTCACACTCATTCTACAAATAATGGTCTTATACAGTATTTGTCCTTATGAGACTGAGTTAGTTCACTTAGTATAATGCTCTGCAGTCCCTCCCAAATTAGGTAGTAATTTACAAAACCATTGCTCCTTAGTGCTGCATAGTATTTCATTGTGTGAATGTACCACCATTTCTCAATTACAAGTAAAGAGCCTATATCTCACAAATAACCAAGAAAAGTTTTGGTTTTCATCTTGGCATTCAGTTTTTTAAAAAATGATTATGACTCTTGTGTAAAATTCAAATGAAAGCTATTACAGGGGAGCTTCACTCTGTAAGTTTAAAACCCTTTTGTCTCTGGCCTTCCTGAAGCAAAACTGATAAAAGGAGAAAATGAAATCATCTAAGTTTCACAGTTTCCACACCCCAAACAAACAGCAGAGAGGTGAGATAACCAAAAGGCATGCTGCAAGTAGCTGAGTAATTCCCTAATCTGATTTCTCTGTCCCCTGAGAATTCTCAGACCTTGAGAATGTGGGAGTCTCCCCCTCCTTCTCTTGGGGTCTCTTTTCCTGGGGTGGAAAGCAGCCCCACGGACAGGGCGGGTTGGCAACAGCTTACCTTCTTGGCTCTTTGGGCTATGTCTGGGGTTCTTGTGAGCAGCTTCTCAATCAGGTATTCTCTGTTCTGCAAAACAAATAGCCCAACAGTTCAAAATCAGATAATCAGACACAGGAATCCATAGTGATTTCAAAATAGCAGATTTACTGGGTGTTTTAAGCATGTTACCTTGGCTTTCTGGAAGAATTTGCATTTTAAAAGTTCTGCTGCTGTGGGCCTGAAAGATCAATAATAAATCAGAGTTGAAACAACGACCACTCAATAAACACACCGCCTTGCTGAAACAACTTAATCCTAGAGTATTTTTGGAAGGCCAGTTGAGGAGTAGCTAACCCAGAAACTACAGGCCTCAGAAGCTGGCACCATGTAAAAGAGTGTCAATTTTGCAGTTCATTCCAAACACCCTGACTGCAGAACACATGAATTCCTGCAAGTTAAAGGCCTGGGGAAGGTGTTTCCAGCCTGTGTCCTTATACTTCACTAAGTGAATTTAGTGTGTTTCTACAAGGTGGCAGACTGACATGTCTGTGAGCTAAATTCCTGTATTTATTAAGAAACCCTCAAAGCTGCAGTGTGATCCTATGAGAGATCTACAACCCATCACACATGACAAATCCCTGGGCACAGCATCTACTGCATGGGGTCACAAACGTGTGTGTACAAGCAGTGCCTGCTCACTGAAGAACCCTGCATCAATGAACACTGATCACTATTCTTTAGTAGAAGATAAATGCAACTGTAGTTACTAAAATGCATTACAAACATTACTGGATCCACCTGATTCACTCCCTAACGTGTCTCTCCTACTCACTCACTCACTGCCATCAAGGTGGTACTGACTCCTACACGACCAGCTCACGAAATCCAGCAGATTTTCAGGGGCTGTATATCTCACAAGAGGAGACTGTCTTTACCCGTGGTGTTGCTGGTGGATTAGAATCTCCTGCCTTTATGTTGGTAATGTAATTCCTTACCCATTAGGCCACCAGAAATCCCTACCTTTTATTATACCTCCTACAAACTGAAAGTTTGGTCTAAAGGCTTGATTGGCATAACCAAGCATTTCTGGGCAGAATACTCGTATTCTTTATATTCATTCAGCAACATTTCACAGGCACAAGCTGTTGGGTTATTTCACTATTCAAGATGCTAAATTGAATCACTTGGTCTCCACGGCCCAAATCTCTCTGTGGTAAAGGTAAGTTTTCCCCACTGTGATTACTAAGTTTTCCTATTGGGTAATACTTTATAGGATTTTATCAACATCAAGATTTTTTTTAAAAAAAAAAACAAACCAAATACAACAAACCCTTTTATCTAGTGATTTTAGCTTCTTTGCCTAAATCGTTATTTCAGAAAGGTTTGTAGAATAAGGATTTTTCTATTGCTGCATATGGCTTTTATCCTTAATAACCTTTTTAATGGCCATTCTTTCACAAAGAATAACTGCCTTCATTAGCAGTTCTTTCTAAAAAAGCAGCTGTGGAAACAGGCAGATAAATCCTGAGTTTTGGACAACAGGCCTGATGACTTTAAATAGTCAAGGTCAGCAGAGTGAAGGGGAGATGTGAGTGAGGAAGCAGATCTGACACCTAACCAGCCAAATGCAATACTGGGCCCTTGAATGGAGCCTGGGTTTGGTGGGAAGAGAAGTATGGAGATCTTAAAAAAATACATAGACATAAAAAAAGAGAGATAGAGAGAGACATCATGTGGGATGTGAGAACATGCTAGATAACTTTAGAAAATTATTGTTCATCTTCTTAGGTGCAGAAAAGTGGCATGGCCATGCAAAGAAAACTGTCATTTCTAAAACTGTAAACAAAAATACCAAGTCTGTTACTTTAAAAGAGTTTAAGAAAATAAAAAGTAGTTAACAGACAGCAATGACTAGGGAAGACAGAAGAATTAATGCCTTTGAGCTGTGCTGTTGGAGCAAAGTATTGAATACGGACTGCTAAGAAAACAAACAGGTTCATCCTAGAGAGGGTTAAACCAGGCTGTTTCTTGGAGGCAAGGTTTCTGAAGCTTCGTCTGACATACTCTGAACATATTACAAGGAGGAATCAGTCCTTAGAGAGGGACGTTGTTCTTGGGAGGGTGGAGGGACAGCACAAGAGAGGAAGACCCTCTATGAGATGGATTGATTCAGGTGGATTACTAAGGTAATGGGAGTAGGTGTGTCATAGATAATAAGATTGGCACAGGATAGAGCAGGGTTTAGAGCTAATGTACATAGGGTTGCTATGAGTAGCAGGTGACTCAAAAGCATATAAAAAAAAAACAACAGACACAGCAAATGAAGAAAAGGTTAACAATTGCTGAATCTAAGCAGGAGTATACAAGTGAACATTTTACTGTCTTTTCAACTCTTCTGCATTTTAAAATTTTCATAATTTAAAAAAAAATGGGAGTAAAGAATTACTAAGTATCATTACTTTTTCTCTCAGGGAAGGATTATCAAAGGAAAGATACTATTATGCTAGGGAAAGGTCCAAGTTTCACAGGAGTTCTTAGACTGGAGAAGATTAGAAACCAGTGCATTGGAACCAGAACGTTCCACTGAGATGTTCCTGGGGACTGAATCCAAGCACATAAAAGAATTGGGAAATGCCATTAAGTGCGTCAGTGTCCAAACTGTGTTAGTCTACAGAGACCATACTCTGTATTTTTATGCAGAGAAATTTTCTATTTACATTGTTATTGCTCTTTCCCCAGATTTCAAGTGGAACACTGGTTACAGATACTTGGTAATGAATCCCTAATCCCCACATCCTTGGCAATAAACAACCACTAATTGCTAATTGCTTTGAGTAAACAAAGTTTTAAACAATGGGTGGGCTCTATTTCATATTTTTGTGGGTCCTAGTTATGGATTACCTCCATCAAGTAGGTCCCAATTTAGTACAGGGTCCCAACAAGTAGAGGGATCCTGTAATATGAACTTAAACTGCCTATAATGTTTCTGAGACCATAGCTTTTCACAGATGTCGAATGCTTCCCCTTTCTCCCATGCAGGGACTTGTGGGTTCAAACCAACTTTTCTGTTTGCAACCCACACCTTAACCCACGGTGCCACCAGGATTACACCAAACAGGCACTAACCCATTTACAAACCCACTGCCATTGAGTCGACTCTAACTACCTGCCATCCTCCAGCGTGTTTCAGAGACTATAAATTGCAAGGGGAAGAAACTTCCCATTTTCTCTCGTGAAGCACCTGGTAGATTCAAACCACCAACCTTACAGTTATGTTGGTGAATTCCAACAGGCACCAGAACCTAAAAATAATGCAGCTAGTTTACAAAATTTAATTTCATTATTATTGTAATGTATACTGTTAAATGGAGCAGCAGCAGCTATTGAAGTCTCTGTTCTACTCGCAATCTGTTTTTTCATTTTTCTAATATGTATTTCCTGAGCAGGCATTACTCTACATGTGAGGCATCCTCTAGTGAAAACAACAGGTGTAAATACGCCTTTGCTGACCTACAGCCAAGCAGGTGGGAGCCAGGGTACTGCAAGTTGGGAGGGAACCATAAAAACAGTCAAGGACCTGAACTCGAGCTGGAGTGGAGAGAAAGGAACTACTGGAGAGCACACAGCAGAACCATCAAGGTGCAGCGAGACCAAGGTCTGGGCTCTTGTAGGCCTGCCTCACAACATGAAACAAGATGGGAAACAAAGAAATACAAAATAAATTAATTTTTTTGTTTGTTTTTTGTTTTAAGTCAAAAGAAATCTAAGAGCATCAAAATGAGGAAGGAATTCAAGACCATTGTTTGCCCGAAAGGCTCACTGCATCCAGTTAGTACAATTGCCTCCTAGGTGATCAGTCACTCACTTGTCTCACCCTCCTGCCGGCACACCTTCCACATGGCTTACCCAGCAGGCTCTTTTAAAACAGTCACCTGGTTTTATCTGTGCTAAGCAAGTCTTGAGATAAAACTCAAACTCTTTTGAGCAGGTCCTAGATCCCAACACTTCCAGCCTCATCACACTCTGTGAACCCTGTCTCCAACTACACTGATGTTCATGTTCTCACTATTTCTTGCTCTTTCAAGACAAAGCACACTCCTCTCTTATTGCTTCAAAGAATATTTTTTTCCCAACCAACTGGCACACCCTTGCTCATCAGTTAAGAGCCAATTTAAATGTCACTCTTCCCTGGGAGGATGTCATGCCTTGGAGACACCTCCCCCAGTTCATACACATCACTGCTCCCTACTCTGTGCTCACACACCACCCCCCAACACCTCCATTCTGTAATTATCTGTTCTTCCACAGCACTAAGATACAATCCCTTCTCAAGCGGGGCCAGCATATAGTTCCTTTTAATATTGCCAATGCTGAGAAAATAAAGAAGAAAAGATAAACAAAAGAGTTCAGCATAACTCAAGTCCATAATTCCATAGTATAATTAAATGTAAGAATATATGGAAAAATTCATGCTGTCAGGCATTTGAACAGCACAAATGCGACCACAGTGCTCCTTAGAGGCAAGGATGGAAAAATTATTGTCTTACATACTTTGCCCATGTTGCCAGAAGGTGTCAATCACTGGAAAAAGAAAGACATGACTGGAGAAATCGAAGGTCAGAGAAAGTGAGCAAGAAAGATGACCTGGAGATGGACCAACACGGTGATTCGACACGGGCTTAAGCATGGCTGAGACTGTGAGCACGGTTCATGATAAAGTAAGGTTTCAATCTATTCCTCGTGGGTCACTATGAGTCTTAGTTGACCAGGAGCGCCTAACAACAACCACCACAGCTCCTGGAGCTGGATTTAGTCAGTCACAACAGCTACGTGTGAAATAGAGGGAAATGCTTCAATTAAAATTAGACTCGCACTAGCAAAAAAAGGGAAGGGAAGGGAGATGAGAAGTGTGCGGACAGCAGAAGGTACTGAATATCTCCCTTCCTCCTTGAACCCCTCCCCTTCTCGCTCTGCACAGGAAGTGTAATAGAAGGCTTTCTCTTGCCAGTGTACCACTGAAGTAGAGAGGAGTCTGTGAAAATGCCAAACATACCTTGAGCTACAGGGCTGGGAAAATACTTTCCCTTCCTCAGCAAGGTCATTTCTATGGTAACCAAAAATGTAAAGGGGAACAGCCCTCAGCAGAAAGAACTCCTTTGCCTGCCCTCCCTACACGCAAAGCTTTAACAAACAAAAAACTCGATGGCAGAAGAAATGAGATGACCTAAAGACGCCCTA